AGCGCGCGGTGTGTTGGGGTACTTGTACGAATGTATGGATCCCTCCTTTATTCAAAGTTTCTCTCGTATTTCTTTCCTTCTATGAGTGATGTCACATGTGATGATTGCGACTTGATCGTCTCAATTTTGTATACATCATTATTGTTTATGTCGGAAGATTGAATGATTGTAAAACGTAGATGCATGCATAACCTTAGTCCATTGGAATTGAAGGGAAATAGCGACGTTGGTCGCCTCGAGTTGCTTTGTGAACAAATCTCGTGCCACATATATACGTTACAGTCAGCCAGTAAAATGGCCCGTCATGTATACGTGCGCTCACATAAGTCGCCCACGCTCGGGCTGTACTACCGTGACAAGTATACTTCTGCATGGATAGGAACGACTGCATTAATGTGAATTTGTAGCATGGAATTCGGTGTCCCCTTTCAATTAACAGATCACGACTACCTTTACCGAATGTCGGGCTTTGTCTGACGGACTCATACCGAGGCTGAGCATCGAGAACACAACCTTCGACTGAGACCGTCCACGTCAGACTCTGAGATTTGTGAATCCTGTAGGCGTTGTGTGTTTCAGCAGCGAGATATCCATTGTGTTCCTCCTGCACACCGCATACGGACCCGTCCCAGGCGCCAAAACCGGCCATCCTGAGTACCCGGCCATGAAAGTCATGAACTGAGAAAGCCCCCTTCCGTCCGAACCTCTTTGCATTTCTGTCCTTGGAACCTTAACACAGGAGATCCCAGTTCCAACCTGGGAGTCCGCCCCACGTTCCTAAAATCCTTGGTACACCCACTTTTTGCAACTTTCGGGCCCACTTCCACTTCGATCAGGAAGTCGTGTTGGGCGTGAGGTTAGGGCATCATAAAGCCGCCAGCTTTGCCTGCCTCTCACCACCACCTTTGTCCGGTACGGAGAGCGCAAGAACAATCCTGGCTGGATTGTTGTCTCCCCTCCCCTCCACGTGATGTTGTAAACCCACATTTGCCCTGCATCTAGAGCCTTGGCAAACAGGGTGTTGTCTTCCTGTGCATCTAGAGCCTTGGCAACACATGTGTTGTCTTCCCGTGCATCTAGAGCCTTGGCAAACAGCAATGGCCTTCCGAAATTTGAACCTAAATTTCGAATAATGCTGGGCTGGTTCTTGGTGGGGATTTGTGATTGAAATTGGAAAATCTAGGCCTAATGCGGTGGACCGCGGGCTGGGCGAAGCGGCAATCAACCCGTGGCTGTATATTTTCCTATATTCCGTGCCGTGGGCAGATCTGTTCGCAGCCAGAGGCTGTGCTTACCTCGACGGTTCTTTTGTCGTTTTGTGGAGTTTCTTTTTCGGGAAATGTCGGGGACGTCAAATGAGGTTTGTCGGGGTCTTTTTGGGGCTTAGGCAAAAGTGCAAAGGGTGCGGTCGCGGCTAGGAGACGTACCGGTAGTGTGGCTGGTCGTGCTAGGCTTTTGGGTGTGTACGTCTCGTGGTCGTTTCATTAGGTCGTTCAGGTTTGTTGGGGGCGGCGACCCGGTTTCCTTTTTGGGTGAGGAGAAATGGTTTGGGGATGGGTGGAAAACGAGCAGCAGGGGGTCATCAATGTGTTCACGACTCAATCTTTTTCCGGTTGCTTCGCTTTGTTTTGGGTTGGGTGCCAACAAAAAAAAATGGGGAGCGGGGGGTGGGTCATGAAAGTAGTGACGACTCAATCCTTTTCCAGGTCGTGTCCTTGGCCTGGGGCGTTTCTGCTTTTGTTTTTTTTTCTTCAATTTGAACTGCATCTCCCCAGAAATATGAGAAGCATTCATCTATTTACTGCTATGAAGTATTGAAAAACGAGAAGGGAGTGCCCTGCCTTGTTGGCAGGGCTTACTAAAAAAAAAGGCAAAAAAAGAGTTATTGAGATCTAGGGCCTCGCTCCACGACTCACCGAATGTGCAAAATGAGAATGAATAATCCCGTAGAACATGGGTAGATACACGTCAAGTAGTTCAGAGGTTGAAATGGCAATGGTTCTTTTGTCGTTTTGTGGAGTTTCTTTTTCGGGAAATGTCGTGGACGTCAAATGAGGTTTGTCGGGGTCTTTTCGGGTTTTAGGCAAAAGTGCAAAGGGTGCGGTCGAGGCTAGGAGACGGACCCGTGGTGCGAGTGGTTGTGGTAGGCTTTGGGTATTGTACTTCTAGTGGTCGTTTCATGCGGTCGTTCGGGTTTGTTGGGGGCTGCAACCCGGTTTCCTTTTTGGGTGAGGAGAAATGGTTTGGGGATGGGTGGAAAACGGGCAGCAGGGGGTCATCAATATGTTAACGGGTCAATCTTTTTCCGGTTGCTTCGCTTTGTTTTGGGTTGGGTGCCAACAAACAAAAATGGGGAGCGGGGGGTGGGTCATGAAAGTAGTGACGACTCAATCCTTTTCCAGTTCGTGTCCTTGGCCTGGGGCGTTTCTGCTTTTGTTTTTTTTTTCCAGTTTGAACTGCATCTCCCCAGAAATATGAGAAGCATTCATCTATTTACTGCTATGAAGTATTGAAAAATGAGAAGGGAGTGCCCTGCCTTGTTGGCAGGGCTTACTAAAAAAAAAGGCAAAAAAAGAGCTATCGAGATCGAGGGCCTCGCTCCACGACTCACCGAATGTGCAAAATGAGAATGAATAGTCCCGTAGAACATGGGTAGATACACGTCAAGTAGTTCAAAGGTTGAAATTACATTTTGCCTTTGTTTTTTTTTGTTTTTTTTTTCGGAAGAAGAATGTCTTCTGTTTCTCACGTGACTCCGTATGAGAGGCGGGGGGAGCAATCTATGGGCCTCATGCAAAAGGAGAATCAATTTTTCGCTAGAACATGGAAAGATGCACGACCATGATTTGTGTCTTTTGAGCATCTCGAGAGTAGTGGGAGGACGCCCTATTGCTTTGTCAACCCCCTTCTTTTCAAGGCATTCTCACGCAGCCCTGTCCACAATCCCCTTCTTTTCAAGGCATTCTCAGGAAGCCCTGTCCACAATGCATCTGACTGTACCTCTGGCCAGGCATGAGGTGGTACGACAAGGCCTCAGTAGCTTGCTATTCATTTTTAAACTTTTTCTTTTTTTTTCTTTCCTTTTTTTTTTTTTTCTTTTTTTTTTTTTTTTTTTTTTTTTTTTTTTTTTTTTTTTTTTTATTATTATTTTTTTTTTCTTAGGGTGTTTTAGAGGCCAAGGACCAGACCCGCGGTGATTCCTGGTAGCGGCAGCCAATGGATGTCCTGACAGGATAGGCCACCTACCCTACCCATCCCAACGTTAATACTCCCAGCGCACCCCCTGTCASTACTATCSTACCTCACTGTGACCAGCACTCAGGACCATCGCCCTACCAGTATGGAGGGCAACTTGGGGGCGGTGGGGATTGTGGTGGAGGTGATCGTGGTAGCGGCGAAGGGGGTTGGGGGGTGCTTGGCGGTGGTGAGATTGGCAGTGGAGGGGGAGGGGGAGGGGGCAGGTTTGGGGGTGAGTCAGGCAGCGGGGGGGGGAAGGAGGGGAGAGGGGGACAGGACAGGCATGGCTAACAAATCCGGCGTGGTCTATTCCCACGCCTCCAAGGACAGCAGCCGTCGACACTCTCACATCACAGGTCCGATTGTTCTTTTGTCGTTTTGTGGGGTTTCTTTTTTGGGAAATGTCGTGGACGTTCAATGAGGTTTGTCGGGGTCTTTTCGGGGTTTAGAGAAAAGTGCAAAGGGTGCGGTCGCGGCCAGGAGACGGACCCGTGGTGCGAGTGGTTGTGGTAGGCTTTGGGTATTATACGTCTAGTGGTCGTTTCATTCGGTTGTTCGGGTTTGTTGTGGACGGCGACCCGGTTTACTTTTTGGGTGATGAGAAATGGTTTGGGGACGGGCGGAAAATGGGCAGCGGGGGGTCATGAAAGTCGTGACGACTCAATCCTTTTCCAGTTCCCGGTTCGCTTTGTTGGTTTGGGTGCAAAGCAAAATGGAGAGCGGGGGGTCATCAAAAAATAAATCGAAAAAAAATCGAATCGAATCGATCGACGGTCGGGCATCAAAAATTTTCTTCGTTTTTATTGGACTCATCCTAATGCACCTGGTCGAAATACCGTCTACATGCATGTAGTATATTGTGTACTGAGGGAGCTGCCTGGCATGGTCATCCCCGCAGCCCCCGAGGCTACAATCTCCTACGCCCTGGCTGCGCCCCCGCGCCCCGCGCGGTCACAGTAGAATTGGTGCTACACTTGTAGACTGTAGAGGAGGGACATAAAAACAGCGCTGTGCAAACTAATCACAGAACTCAAGTTGCAGGAAATATAGATAGACAGATATCTAGATAGATAGATAGATACATGAACAGGAAATATCACCTCCACAAAGTGAACACCCCTGCCAGACTCTAAGTGCGGAGTTGATACATGCCCCTCCAAGAAAATACATTTGTCCAGGAGTACCTTCGTTACACAAATTTGGCCAGCTAGGACCTTGTTCGAAGGACAAGTGAGGGTCTAGGGAGGCCCGTCCTGAGAGAAGGTGACCGTTACCGCCGGGGCTCGGATGAGTGGGAGAGGGAGGCAAGGGAGGCCCGCTTGAAGAGGGGCCAGAGCAAGAGATGTGGGGTGGCTCAGCTTTTTGTGACCCGAGAGTTTGGGGATGGGACTGCGATGGCGTACAATATTTGTGGGGCGGTACTGTCCATTTGCGGCCACTTGCGGAGGAGATTAGGGGGCGCAGCTCCGTTGATATGCCGGCTGCGGATCATGCAGGACTTCCGAAGCCAATGACAGCGGGACGAAAAGCCACGTCCGCCTCAGGACCCCTTCGATTTCGCAAATTTTCGGATAACGCGAGCTCACAGAAGCGGCCGGGACGCAGGTCCAGCCCGCCGCTAGGACAGAACATCCCCGTCTGAGCAGCAGTGGACCCAGAGTCAGCCGGACCTCCTCCCAAGGGAGGGCGGGGACAGAGAGGGGGGGGCAGGCGGAAAGGGGAATGGGTCAGGTCCGGAGCTCCGGTGATGACGCTCCGAAAGCGGTGAAGTTTATCCTGGAATTATAAACTTTAGGTTGCAAGGAAAGGGCAAGGAGTTGGCTGGTGGCTGGGAAGCGTTTCCGCGGCGCCTGACTCGCTCTCACGTTCGGCTTTCGCGCGAAGCTTCGTGACCCGGGTGAGCCACAGTTCGCTATGGCGGCCATTGCTTCTTCCTCCGCTGCGGCGGCATTGAAGGTAGCCGCTCTCAACAAGGAGTTTCTGGGGCAGAACGTGGTTAGCGGCCCTGCTGCTACCGTCAGGTGCGTCGCGGCCCCGAAGTCTTTGAGAGTGGTCGCCGCAAAGAAGGCCGCTGCTGCCAAACCCAAGGCAGCTGCCAAGAAAGCGGCTCCTGCTCCCTCCAACCCGGAGCTCGCCAAGTGGTATGGTACGTATCAACATGACCACCCACCTTTCGCCGCCTGTCCTCAGAACCAACAAAGCATCTCCCAAGTCGACGTCTTTCACTTCCCTCCTTCCTTCCCTCCTTCCCTCCTTCCCTCCTTCCCTCCTTCCCCCCTTGGAGGAAAACAACAAGCTTACGACCAACTCTCCTCGCTCTCTCTCTCTTCTCCTGCCGGCGCGTCGTCCCAAACGCCTCTGCTGTCTCCTTAGCCACTCACCGACATACCTATGTCCCACTCCTCGTCCTTCTCCTTCTGCTCCTCCTCCGCCCTCCTCCTCCTCCTCCTCCTCCTCCGCCCTCCTCCTCCTCCTCCTCCTCCTCCTCCTCCTCCTCCTCCTCTACACTACTACCCGGATGGAGGCGACGACAACTACCGTCACAAACACGACCACCACCAATGCTAGCACAGCTCGTGACTACCACTTATGTATGCAATTCAGTACTTAGCACGAACATCGGGTCCCAAGCGAAGTGGGCAGGTGTGGAGTTGAATGCGGGTGAAAGGCGGTACGGATTACGAGGGTACGTAAGTTACCAGGTTGCGTAGGAGATATGACGTGTATATTCGCTGCATGGGAGGAGGAGCTGGGCTCCTTTTTTTCCGTTTTAACGACCTGACATCGTTTGACGAACTAGTTTGTGCGTAGCCTCTCTCTCTCTCTCTCGCGCGCGCGCGCGCGCGCGCGCGTGCGCGCGCGCGGTTAGTCTGTGTGCGTGCGTTTTCCCATCGCAGTCCACGTATCACGTGCATGTGTAGAAGAGCTTTAAAGGTCTCGTTTCGGTGCAAGCACCGGGAACGTCCGGGCCATGTGCTGCGGAAAGAGTCTGACCATGTTCGCTCTCGATGCTCACCATCATGATGGTGGATGTTGGAGGTCGTAGGGAAGAGAGAGGAGTGCGAAGTGGTCGATGGGTGGGAGTTCCTTAAGTCGCAGGGACATGACATGATCGAAAGGCAAGCAAAGAGTGGTGCCTTGCTCGGCGTTGGGGTGGGATGGGGTGGGGCGGGGATGTTCATCGCTGAGCGCCGATGCTGAGGGAGACGCAGAGGGAGAGGGAAAGAATTGAAGCAGATGGGAGGAGAACTCTGCCTATTTTTGCTATATATATATGTATATATGTATATTTATTCAACAACAACACAGGCCCCTTTTATATTGTGGGAGAGCACCAGTCTGGTTGCTTATGTAGGCAGAGTGATCGAAGGAAAAAACTTTACGACCGAAGTGATTGAGACGGGAGAAAAGAATAATGCCGGCGTTACGGTATCAGCATGATGAATACCAATGTGGACTATTTTGTCTTCGGGTTGGCTGAACGTCCATCGTCCAAAGTAATGAGCAACACGCAAATATGCGCAGTAATGGTACTACCTTATCTTCTTAATCCGAAAAGCGAGAACAAGCTGGGTGTCATGAATCTTTACACACAGAGGACTCTCTGTCACCCCACCATAACATACCAATGACTACTCTGTCCTCTATTCGGGGACGAAGGTACAAATAATACCAGTGTAGTATCGGCCCATTTCGGCTTTCAGCCGATGTAGATTGACCTTTCTGTGTGTGTGTGTGTGTGTGTGTGTGTGTGTGTGTGTGTGTGTGTGTGTGTGTGTGTGTGTGTGTGTGTGTGTGTGTTGAAGTTCATATTTTAATGTCAACCGACGTAGGTGACGTCTCTGTTTATGTTCTGGGCCCGAAGACCGTGCCCCAGCGTCATGACGACTGTTTCCCTCCCTCCCCCCACCCCTCCCCGACCCTTTTTTTATAAGGGCGACGGCCTTGAGATTTCATCATTGAAGTGACTGGCCCCAGGTAATTTTCAGAATTGGTATTTTATTCTGGTCATCGTCTGATTGTATCTGGATTCGAACTTGGATCTGTATTTCACCAGTTCGTGATGTACCAACTGAGCTAGGCCCGTTGGTATGATGACTCTTTCTTCTTAAGACGAACATTGTTTGTATACGCTGCTGATGATCAAATAGGGGCGTTATGTTTGGGGGAAGAACGCAGTATACCCATTCCTTTTTTTGGGTCGTGAATCAAGGTACGCGTCACAGGCGATGATATACGCGTTCTAGGCAATACCTTATCCCCTTCTTCCCCAGAAGACGATTCCCGGTCATCTATCTGCATATGGCCTGAAGGTTGGACTATATAGAACTATACCGACCGGGTTTTCTGTTCGGAGGAATAACCAACGTACAAAGAATCAAGTTTGTCAACCAACGAGAAGCTACTAGTAGACTAAGGGCAGTTAGCCACTGACAGTGTCAAGTCACGACAATCGAGTTATATTCTCAACTTACAACAAGCTGGTTCTTCTTAACGTGTGATTTAACTCACTAGTCTAGTTCATACAGTAAGTTTGCGGGTACCAAGTGACATGAATTTCGACAAGTTAGTCTATAGCGAAATTAGTTCTAACTAGAGACCATTCCTCCATGAAGTCCTTGAGCATGAGGTCGGCTCAACCAAACGAGCTGACAACAGCATACAACGTAGATTCTGAACGGAAAGAACTCTCGACCTTCTGAGTCTTTCTGACCAATCCCAAGTCTAGGAGTGGGCCCGGTTCCCAGCACGTGCTGCTCCCCACGAATAGACTGGAGCATTGTCCTGTTTAAAAAATAAATAAATAAATAAATAAATAAATCAATAAATAAATCAATAATAGACTGGAGCGTTGTCCTGTTTGAAAAAAAGAAAAAGAAAAAAAAGGGAGTTCCTAGAAAAGCCAAGATGATTGGACAAGTCGCACCAGTCTAAGAAAGTTGTCAGCTACTACAGTCGTCCCCCGAATACAACGCACGGTCATTATTGCCGACTTTGGTGCATCTTTCGGTCTAAATTCAGCGATAATGACCGTACGTTGTATTCGGGGGAAGACTGTAGGAGGAATCAGAAAATCTGGCGCCTGATATGGGTGAAGAGGGTGTAAGGCAGTATGAGAACTCGAGATGTATTTGTTGTATCATGTTACGCTGGACCCGGTTTCCAGCAGGTGACGCTCCCCACCAATAGAACGGAGCGATCGGTCCGGCGGGCTCCAACCCGGACGGCTCTCTTACAGCCACCCGGGCAGGTTTCCAGGCCCATGGTTAACTGACACGTGCGCCCTTTCTAAAGATCACGTTTTTGTTCCTTCCAATCATTCTGTTATAAATTATGAAAATTATAAAAGATTGCGGTTTTGTTCCAATCGTGAACTTGCAGGTGTGCTCTGTTGTCAACATCATTTTTTTTTTTTTTTTTTTTTTTTTTTTCCCTTCTTCCAATCATTCGCTCATGCACGGGGTGTCCGGTTTTGTGTTCTTGACGAAATTTCTGAAACTCAATGCAAATGCAGGTGCGGACCGCAGGATCTACCTCCCGTCGGGACTGTTGGACCCGTCCGAGATTCCCGAGTACCTCATTGGAGAGGTCCCTGGCGAGTAAGTCTGCGACGCCCAGCTCCACCATTACCATCACCGACCTCTATCTTCTCTCAACACAATGCGCATGCGTTTGCTCACCTGTTGGTTGTTGGCCTTCCCTCTCTTTTCTCCTCTCCTTCTCCTTGCTCTCCCTCTCCCCCTCCGCTTCTCTCCCTTCCCTCTTCTGTCTCCCTGTCCTCCCGCTATCCCTATTCCCTCCCTTCTCACCTCCTCTCTCTCTCTCTCTCTCTCTCTCTCTCTCTCTCTCTCTCTCTCTCTCTCTCTCTCTCTCCCCCCTCCACTGGCTCTCCTTTCCGTTCTCCTCCCTCTCTCTCGCTCTCTCTCGCCCTCTCTCTCTCCCTGGCTATCCCCCTCTTCCTTTTGTCTCTCTCTGATGACCTCTGCTCTGCTCTCTCACATGATAACAGACAGAAAGTCGGGAAAGATTGAAAAAAAAGCGAATGCAGTTTTGTCAACCCCACGTCGAACGACCAGGCCCAGGCCCATTTTCCACACCACAGCCTGCCGGACCAAAGGGGAACAGGGGGAGTGCAAAATTCTGATTACCCCGGTCTTGGGATTTCTAATTCCAATCTCAAGCGACCGAAAATTCCGAAAAAGATCAAGGAGGTTGGTTACGTCCCTCCACATCCGGGAAGAGAATTAAAAAAATGGTTTCGCCCATGAAAAAATATTTGCACCAAACCGAATGACCCAGGGTGTGTGTGTGTGTGTGTGTGTGTTGTGGGGGGGGCGGGGTTGCTGTTGAAAATTCCGAGCAGCCCAGCTTTGGCGATTTGTGATTCCCAATTTCCGGCGACGAAAAATTCCAAAAACAAAACCAGGGATGTTGTTGGTTAGGTCCCTTCGCATCTGGGAAAGGAATCGACGTGAACAAGAATGGTTTGGCCCATGAAATGAAAATTACAGCAAAAAAAAAAAAAAAAAAAAAAAAAAAAATTGCAGCAAAATGGATGAATGCCTATTCCAAGGGGGATAGGGGTGCTATGCAAATTTGTAAGAGGTTCTTCTTCCGGGTAGACTGTGAGGACACCGGCCTCAGATGGTTTTATGACAATATTAGCCTTGGGCACTGGGTCCATATTAAAAAAATAAAATAAAAAAAATCCAGAGTGGGCCGGTGGTGCCTGAGATGGTACCGGTCGACATCATGATGTCGGTCCCGCTGGTGACTGAAGAACTGCTCATACGAAACTGCGGTCCTTGTCTGAACCGGCGTCCTGAGTTCTAAGAGCGGGCCCCGCCAAAACTGCAAACGCGTTTTTTTTTTTTTTTTTTTTTTTTCCCTTTCAACTTCATACCCAGGGTGTCCTTTGGGACATCCGTTAAAATTGGAACGATACAGAAAAGATTAGCATGGCCCGTGCGCAAGGATGACACGCATTAACAAAAAAAAAAAAAAAAAAAAAAAAAAAAACCTTCATACCCAGGGTGGCTTGCAAAAAATTACTTGCGATGGAACATCGTATTGAAGAAGATCATACTAATATGAGCTTTAGTATCATGGCGCCATAATTATCTCCCTCCACATGGCCTGCTTACCGGGGTGGGGTGATACGCAAGGTCCTCTTTTGAAGGAAGGGTCCATCTCTGGCGGAGAGCAACCCCTTCTGAAAATCGGGTCCAGCGTCCCTGTGCAACATGATTGATTGATTGATTGATTGATTGATTGATTGATTGATTGATTGATTGAGACTCCAGTGTAAACACATGTTTCGTTAGCATTTACGAACCTTTTTATTTGACTCTGGCGTGGATGCACCTTTTTCCTTCGACTCTCTACCTTCTGCTCCTAGAAATGGAATGCCGCCTAGGGGCTGCATTCGTGTTGCTACCCTGCATGAATTGGATAGAATCATGTAGAATTATTTGGGCAGGATGGGTCAGACCTAATCTTTCACAACCGCGAACAACCACTTTCATATTCCCCCTCCTTCCCTCCCTCCCCTGCTCGACTCATACCGAATTCTGCTGACCCTTGGCCTTGACCCGGTCTCCAAATTCAAATTGTGCACAATGTCGTGTGTTCCTTTTCGACGATTTCCTTGTTCTCGACATTTCCACCATCACTGTGACAGTGTTCTTTCAAGCAGGTGCTGCTCCCCACCAATGGATTTTTTGGAGCCCAGCTGGAGGTCTGCTAGGGGAGGGGCCTCTTATCCTCCCCTCCTAGCAGACTGAAGCTCGATTCTTTGAAAAAAAAAAGAAAAAAGAAAAAACGGCTTGTGGACTTTTCATCTGTATTTTTGTGGCATTTCAAACGGCTCTAGTTTTATTTAGTTGCGGCACTCGAACTGTGTGTTCTCACTTTTTGTCTGACATCATCATCATCATCATCGGCATCTTCTCCTTCTTTTCTGCACTTCCTTGGTTATTGTTGTTGTTGGTGTTGTCGTTCTTGTTGTCAATCTTATGGTGGCGGTGGTGATGCTGATGATGCTGATGATGCTGATGCTGATTCTGCTGCTGCTGATGATGCAGTTATGGATATGACCCATTGGGTCTGAGCAAGAAGCCAGAGGACTTCGACAAGTACCGGGCCTATGAGCTCATCCACGGTCGATGGGCCATGCTGGGAGCTGCCGGTTTCATCCTTCCTGAGGCCTTCAACAAGTAAGAAAGCCAATGATTGTTATTACTGATTGCTGTTGACGACAATTATGATTATCACCAAAAGGAAAAGCCGAGGAAAGTGAATGAACAAGTGTGAATGAATTAGAATTTGATTGAAGTTCGCTCGGGCGCCGTGAATGCCAAAGACAGCAAGGCATTGTGTGATGTTGTGAACTGGTATCAAGACGAAGAGCCAATGAATGCATGCATGAATGAATGCCATTGAATGAATGAATTGTGAATTAGAACTCAATGCAGTTTGGGCTCAGCGAATGACAAAATGGCTTTTGAAATTTGAATAGGTTAGTCTCAGCTGAAGCCGGGTAATGGCGGCGGTATCTCATGTGGTTTTGCATATGTTCTCATATGGGACGCTGGGCCCGGTTCCCAGCACGTGTTCCTCCCTACGAATAGATTGGAAAATGGTTCCCATTATAATAAAAAAAAAAAACGTCGAACTGGTATCATGTCGATTGATTAGTCAAAAAACAGGGAAAGCCTGAAACGGGGGCCATAAGTTGATTAGGCCCCTGCCTCATTCCTATTTTGAACAAGCCATGGATGATTTTATGTTGTCTGTCTTGGTGACTTGCAATTTTATATTATCCGTGTCATAATGACATTTACCGAGCAGATGATAATCCTCCAAACATGTAGTCTATTATTTTAAACCTGCTGGGTAAAGCCCCTCTCATCGGCATTATCCCATCTTGTCCGCCTTGGTGACTTATAATCTTGTGTACTCTGTGTGTGTGTGTGTGTGTGTGTGTGTGTGTGTGTGTGTGTGTGTGTGTGCATGTGTGTGTGGAACAGGTTCGGTGCCAACTGTGGTCCCGAAGCAGTGTGGTTTAAGACCGGTGCCCTGCTGCTCGATGGTGGCACCCTTAACTGGTTCGGTCTGCCGATCCCCATCAACCTTGCTGTTGCTGTCGGTAAGTGGTTTTGACTGTGCTGTGATAACTCAGTTTTGTACAGGCCCATGTCTTCAATCTCCTTCTTGATCTTCTAAGATTTGGTTCTTCCTAGGTTAAGCAGAAGCGGTGGGGGGCAGTAGTGATGGCTTAAGAGAAAACGTCACGGTGTGGCACTTTTGTTGAGTCAGACCCGATGGAAAAGCTCCAGAGACAATTTCAGAAAATGAAACTCATCCAAGCCGTCACTTTTGAGCTCTTAAATTTGCCGAAAGTGGGTCTGATCTTGTGTTAGCCAAAGACTGTGCTGCATATGATTTGATTGGTGGCGTGCGCCCTCTTTTTCTTTTTTTGCCCCCTCTTCCCTTCTTTCCTTGTGTTTTCGGGAAGGCTTCATGATGATGATGGTGATGAGGACGACCTTGCTATGCATATGCTGGGTTGGCATGAGAGACTTTGACGGCTTGATGTATGACTCATTCTTTAAAAAGAAATAAAAAGGGCGACGGCTGTGAGATATCATCATTGATGCTGACCGGCCCCAGGTAATTCAGAGTTTATGTTATTCTTGTCATCATCTGATTGTATCTGGATTCGAACTTGAGTCTGTATTTCAACAGTTCGTACGTGTACCAATCTCCGTTTCTCTTCCTTTCTTTCCTTGTATGTCTGTAAGAATGATGATGATGATGATGATCATGATGGTGGTGATGATGATGATGATGATATTGATGATGGTGATTCTTATGTTTGCGATCAGTATGAGAGATTCTAATTTCTAATGTAATGCCACCTTGTCACATCACCTTGGTCTTAGAAACATCGGCGTGGAAGTGGGTGCGCTGGGCAGAATGCAGCCAAGACAGCTATTTCAATCAGAGACGTAATCTTACGTAGTATTCACATGTGAGGCGAGCCTTTTTTTGTGCGAGGAGAGATTCTGTCTTGTACTTAGATGATGCTACATTTCAACTTGAAGTCTGGCACCATCCCCCAGGCTTTGGCATTTTCTATTGCCTTTAGAAGGACTGCAGTGGGGCCTTTTGGTGTTTTGCGTAAGTGTTTGAGTGTCATCTCTGTAAATGTTACCTTGTACTCGTCTAGATTGACTTTGGAAATGGGCCTTGGTATGATACATGGACTTCAGTTTGAGTCATTGCAGTGGCACTTAGGCGTGAGCTTGACCCGAGTTTGATATGTGGGATGGTCTCCTTTGTGCAGTCCTGGAGGTCGCTCTCATGGGAGCAGTCGAGTTCTACAGATCCTCGAACAAGGGACCGTTGGGTGAGGTAAGTTATATTGACAACGGTCATAGTAGACCACGAGTGTGACCGGACGATTTCATACCTGCTCTTGCTCTCTCCCACCTCCCACCTCCCTTCTCTCTCTCTCTCTCTCTCTCTCTCTCTCTCT